CCCCAAAACCCCAAAACCCCAAAACCCCACACGCTCTAGGGTTTATAGAAATAAATTATGCAAAATATTAGAGTTTTCCAGTCGTTACAGCCTGAATGCTCAGGCTCAAGCCATGGTAAGCCTTCTTCAAAAGTATTGATGCCTGAGTATTTAGTCACCAACCGAGATTTCAGTTGAGATTACAAGACAAACAAGATAGATACCTCTAGTTATGGAAATCATGCTCGTTCTTCATCACAACAAAAATTTCCAAAGCATCATTTGAAGTCAAAGAGCATCCTGAACCAGTGAAATCGTTATGAGAGTTTGAAGAAGTTAACACAAAAGAGTTCTAGCCCTCAGATGTGTAGATAATTTTGTTTATCATCTCTAGGTCGGGATGACACTTTGCTGTACCAGAAATCCAACCAAAATCTGAGTGTAGTGTCCAAAAATTACTATGGCATGAAATTAGCTAGCCCCCATAGTGCTGTGTAAGGCTTCTTTATGAATAATGCAGGCTTTCTTACTCAATTAAGAAGGAAACCCCCGCTAATACAACATCAAAAATACTCCCTTCAGTGACTGAAGCTAGGCAAGTGAAGGCACTTTACTGTTCTAGTATTCAAAATAAGGAGAAAATTAGAAAGATTAAGAAATAAAAATTATCAGCATAAGAGGCAAATCAGCTTGAGGGAAAGTCTAGACAAGAGAAGCTTAAGCACAAGTATGTTATCTCTGTTAATCTTAAGAAGGGAAGTTCTCCACTCGTGAGAGCATCATGATCGACCATCAAGTACCGACTCCACAGGAGTCGGTACTTGCATCTCTTAGTATTGCGAGAAATCTTACTTCATAGATACCCAGAAAGGGTCTCTAGAGAGCAAATTCTTTGACAAAAGAGACATCGAGCTTAGACACCTTCGTGAGAAGGTGTCTAAGCTTGAGGAAAATGTTATCACTCTAGAGCAAATAAACTGGGTAGGACCCCAGCTTACTGTTTTAGGAGCTACAAAATTTCTGTCAAGAAAATCCTGATCAAGAAATGGATAAAACGCTTCAGTTACAATCAGACATCTCGGACCTCCTCAATCCTCTTAATCGCAAAACCTTGATCAAATCACTTCAGAACCAAATAAGGATCAATAAGAGTAAGCATCTTTCAAAACTCAAAGTACACCATCATCGACTAGTCGTCAGATACAACTAAACAGGTCAAATTATACTCAAAATTGTCTAAAAATAAGCTAAAATAGCTCTAAATGTATCTCTAGGGTGATTTAGAGTCATTCTAAATACAATATCTCACTTTTAGGATCTTCTAGAGTTATTTTTGATATATTTCCTATCAAAAACTACTACTAAATGGCAGTTAACATTTTCCAAAATATTAAGATTTCTTTTATAGAGATTAAACAAAAGAATGAAACTTTAACTGCAGAGAATAAAAGATTGAAAAACAAGGTGCAGTACAGGGCTGATCTAGGGCGGAAGGGTGGTATATGCTAGATTATGCAACTTACACTTCAGTTTTTGATGCTCAGGCTTTTGAGTCTTATCGCATTTTAGTGTTTGTATTACAGAAATATCGTCACAGAACTTCAACATCAAAGCAAGCATCCTGTCTTCAGACCTCCTTCCAAAGCCTCAGATTTTCAGGGTATCTTCATTGTTACTCTTTAGACTCCGATTTTGATACACTTGAAAGAAAATATGAAATTTTTGAAGAAGTAATCGCTGAACTAATCTCTAGCTTGTTCTTCACGAATACAAGCACTCAGAGATGCTAAAAGCAGATGATCCTGAAACGGTGTTGAACCAGACTCATGAGGTTTCAAACATAGTTCTCTTTTTAGGAAAGCTCAACAAGTTATTCACAAAGTTAATAACTTGAAACTCTTTAAACAATATTATGACTGAAATTGAAGAGATCCTGAAGCAAATCCTGCACTGAAACAGAGTCTCCTTCCTCCTTAAAGATGAAGAAGTTATCAAAATCTTTAATGAAGAGGACAAGGGGTTAGGACAGAACATTTCTATTGATAACTATGGGTTTGTGCTTGTCTCCCCTAATGCCAAATTCTCAAAAAAGTCTAAAATAATCCGGTCTAGTCGGCTTCAGAAGCAAGAGGAAAGCAGTCTCTTCCAGCCATGCTTTGATGATCTCGAGGCAGCTTTTTACGGCAAAGCAGATAAAAAGGTTATATGTCATTCGGTGTGTAAGAGCGAGAAGATCAGGAAGAGTAAGAGGTTTGATCCCTCTGCGATCTATCTGGTCATTCAGTGAGAGAAACACAAGAGCGATAAGACCAGGTTTAGCATGAATCATCTCTACGCACTCAATTTGTTCAATACAATGATCAGTGAGTGCATCGAGAAGACAAAGGTCTCTTTCAAGATGAATATGAGAGATAGAATCTCAAAAAATCTCCTGAGTAGCTTCAAAGATGTGGCTTATGATAAGAATTTAGCATCGATTCATTTGTCTGTGGCAGACTCCTGATCCTCTATTTTTGAGGCGAAGAAGGCCAATATCTTCTTTGTTGATCATGAAAATCCTAAATTTATGTAAGAATTAGCTCTAAAGCATATAGGTATGCTATTACAACGGTTGGTACGGATCCTGGAGGCACCAAGTTCATCAGCACTTATGCAAAATACCCTGCTAGTTATGGCTACACGGGACATTGCATTCAAACCCATCAGATAACTGTCTACCAGGATGGAGTTAAGAAGTATAGGAAGAACTCTCCAGATGCTGAACTAGAGTACATCTCTGAGATTGACAACTTCGTTCTCGAAGCTGATGTTCGAAATGCTATATACGGGCCTTGTTTTGACCAGCACGGTAAGATCCAAGGCGTCCTTCAGATCATCAACAAGGTGCATTCAAGTGAAAGCTTCACTGAGGAATGCTACCCTGAGATGGAGTCCATCTGAGGCGTCATTGGTTCAGCAATCGCTCATGCTAACTCAGTCGACAACACCATGAACATGAATTGGAAGATGCAAGGGGTGATGGAGAAAATGGATCTCATCACTATCAAGGGTGATGACCTCTTAGCAGATAGCTCTAAGACACTTGAGCAGTACCTCATTGATGCCAAAGGTAGGTTCCTTCACAGTACTTTTAGACAATTTCAACAAGATCAAACGTTTGACGAAGAAAAAGTCCTCATTCAGGAAGTAAAATATTCTGGATTGCTTAAATTTGTGGTTTCTACCAAAGTATATTTTCAAAATCTTGAAATCTAGGGAAATCTTATTTTAGGCTAATAATGGGATTTCTTGGTGATCTTCAACTACTTTGTATTTTAGTCGTCTCCCAAATGTATGAAACCTGTTTGCACACTAGGAAGCTGAGACACCCTACTTGGCTTAGCAGCAATTTTGGCATTTTCGTGGGACATTTGAGTTTGTGAACAGGTACAGAGATGATAAGGTGAAGATATTGTACTTTTTGGAGGATTTTAGGGTCCTTAATATTGCACTCTGTGCTTTCATTAAGCCATTAGTGTAGTTACTTAAAAGACTAGATTTTATATTTTAAATCCTCACAAGGGGTTTTGGGGTTTTGGGGTTTTGGGG